CAAGGATGCCTGCAGTGGCAACACAACGTGATGACGTCACATGTGCCTACCTGATTTGATCACAGCAGAGAGGAAAATTCATAATGTTGGCAGTGTTGAAGTTTTTTTTTGTTGACGAGTATGTCAGATTCCGAAGATTTTTGGGCTACGTTGAGCCTCGCTACAACGTCCCCAGTCAGAGCTATTTTTCCGACGTAACCTTACCCGAGTTACTAGCTGTCATTTCCGACATCATTGAGAAGCTAATAGCCGATAGCACTTGGGTGAGTTTTATCACAAACATTTGGACGTCGTGTTAGCCTCGTTAGCATGATTAGTCACAACAATAGATGGACAAAAACGTTGAATTTAAAAAGGCTGTCCTTCATGCACAAGAGTGCAGAGGATTCTACACTGCAGCTGGGAACCTGGAACAAGCCTCCACAAGTGAGACAGCATCGCAGGTGACTGATGCTAATAAATAACATTTAACACTTTTCGTTTAATATAAGTTAAAGTGCTATGCACATCATATGGCTGTTACTGAATATATGTCACCAGCTCTTACAGCTGTTACATAATTTTGTAGCAAATAAGCCTAAATAAGAGGGCTATGTTCTGACAAAGGAAAGTATATGAAATATCGGTATTGTTATCGGCCAAATAAGTTTTAACATATCGACATATAGGTCAAAAATCCAATATCGTGCATCCCTACAATTAGATTAGTGGCCACAGCTGGCAGACTCAAAGTTTTTTTCTAAAACTGGGCCTGGGTTGAAAAGTTCCACCCAAAATAATAAAGTAAAAAGGCAAGCTAAGTCTTACTGAAAGTTGTAGTTTAAAATGGAAGAGAATCAAAAATGTGGTTAACAAATGTGGTAAACAAGCAGTTGTTGGATTTATTGCCCGAAACAAAACAATACCCATTTAGAAAGTTAAATGCTCAAATTGATGACAGATGTGCTCTGTTGGCTTGTGCCACTAGAAAAACTAAATAAAAGAACTAATTTTTGGAAGCAGTTAAGTGGTCACAGCATCTCTCACCTAAACATGTTTCATACTTGAAAACAAACAAAACACTGAAAGCTCGCGATGGAGCAAACATTAGCTAACATTTTTAACTTTAATGAGGATGTAAAAAGACCTGTTAAAAATCATGAATGTTTTTTGTGTCCTGAAGAGAAAAAGAAAAAAGAAACGAACGGAAAAACCCTGGTGTGGAACAAAAAGGAAGAAATGCTCCACTGTGATAATGTTAGCTCCATTTCTGTGGACGTTCTCTATGGTAACAATACAGTCATCAGAAACTATGAGCACCAGGAGAAGAGGAGACACTATATACTGCAAACTGCCCTCCTAACAACTTCAGATCCAAACAACACAACATTAAGCACAGTTAGGGCTGGGCGATATGGACAAAAATTAATATTGATATTTTTTCTTTCCATAAACTAATAACAAAAATATATTTGAGTCAAAGTTTTGTCCCAATTGTCACACAGGCACATTTATTAACAGCTGTAACTGTACAAAATAAATATCTAAAAAATTAACTATTTACATTTATTAAATAGTTTATTTTTTAGACATATATTTACAGCTGTGGTTCAGAGGATAGAGCAGTCGTCCTCCAATGAGAGAGTTGGGGGTTCGATTCCACCAGCAGTCACATGATGAAGTGTTCCTGGGCAAGACAATGAACCTCTCATTGCCTTTGATGTGTGTCCCATCAGTGTATGAATGTGATAAAGCTCTGATTATTCTTTGTAGAGATCTGGTAGAGTGCTGTGAGGGCACAGGTTGTGTTGTAAAGCGCTTTGAGTGTCTTGACAAGATAGAAAGGTGCTGTATAAGTACAGTCCATTCAGCTGCGCCGCCTTCACGTTAGTAAGCATGTGTAAACTGCGGTAGTGAGCCTCCACTTGGAACCTTGATGCTGAAGGTCCGATAGACCCGTCTCCTTCCTTGAAGCAAACCACGGTTCAGAGCTCATTTAGCCGTGCTGTGCCTTTTAGAGGAACACAGAGAGGAAGCACAGCATATCGCTAAAGATACGGTCCTTAGCGGCTAACAAGACGGCTAAAGCGTTAGCCACAAAGGACCGTATCTTTAGCGATATGATAAACTGCTGCTTTATTAATATCACGCTTCCTCTCTGTGTTCCTCTAAAAGGCACACAGCACGGCTAAATGAGCTCTGAACCGTGGTTTGCTTCAAGGAAGGAGACAGGTCTGTCGGAGCTGATAGCATCACACACGCTCAGCTGCTGCGTTTACTTCTGCTAAACGTCTCCTGCCCGCCCACCTCCTGGAGAAGCAGGAAGGAGAGGGGGAGCGCGGCTGAGGGCTGTGTGTTTGTGTTCGAGGAGGTAGGAGGGGGCGGGCCGCCTGGGAGGAAGAAGACGGCAGGATTTCCAAGTATAAAACTATATCGTTTTATATCGAGATAGCTCAACTTATATCGCAAAAAAAAAAAAAAGATCTCAATATTTAAAAAGTATTGAGATATCGCCCAGCCCTAACATTAAAATAAATTGATTAAAGAGGTCAAAATAAAGTGACAATTTTTTGTCTAAAAGTAGGCAAAAACAATCGCTCCTCACCAAAACACACTATAATAAATGTACCATAGTTTTTTTTTTTTTAAATAATACAAATATGATATATATGAATCCGTACACAAACGATAAATCCTGGAAGTTTTAAGACTCATGGAAGACTCGAACGATTTTCAAATGTCAAAAATCGATTCCGTTAATCCATGCTGTGCGGTTTTTCCTGGTAGTGATAGGAAACTGTACTGTACCTTCCTGTTGTGGTAAAGTTGTGTGTTTTCACACGTTTTCTTTGCTAAACCCAGAAGACTTTATGTCTAAGTAATACTAGAAGTTATCAAAACATGACATTTACATTTATTGTTTATTTATATAGGGACAAGTGTAAAGCATGTTATCATACACTACAACATTTAAAGCATGGACTAAACTGCAGTTCCAGTCCCAAAATGGGTTTTAAGCAAAATAAAAATAAACATGACGAGTTTCACTAATGACTGAAATGTTTGATTTGTGTAAATACTTCCGGCGACCAGCACCATGGTAATTGTGTTCGCTTTTCTGGGGTGTTCTCAATAATATGTTAGCATCTCTGCTAAATGTTGGCCAGTCACTTGTGATCAAAAATGGTTTTCAACATGTTATCTATCGTGCACTCTTAGATGTTTTTCCTCCAGGTCTTCTAGTTTCAGCAGAAAAAACATAAAATTCTTGAAATAGTAACTTTCTATACTCGGAGAAGCCTTAAAACAACTTAAGTTTATTTATTACAAAGCGTGTTTGCGTGAGACATGAAGTGGCCAACCCAGCTGCCGCTTCACAAACTGGAATACACACACCCAACACACACTGTAGGAATGTCTGAATGTTCTTTTTGTCTTCCTGGATCTAAAAGTGACTTTTAACAAACCACATTCTTCCCTAGACTCCAACGTCCTGAGTGACCTCGCTGAAGTTCAGTCCGAGCCCGTTTTTTGTTTAAACCGCACTCTGATCTCAGAACAGCGCACGAAAACAAAACACACACAGGCACATTTGAACATACACTTGTATGCACTTAACCAGGTCAAATACAGAGCAAATCCTTCCAAGTTATGTAACAGCTACGCTCCACACTCAGCCCAGACTCTCAAACAGGGGCGGCTCTACAAAGACAGCTCACGTTGATTTGAGGGTAGTTCCTTTCATGATTATGAGCATGCGTTTCACGGCTCTTGTGCTTATTTAATGTTTCAACCAAACATATCAGCACAGGAAGCTTTAAATTCAATTTCCTTTTTTTTGAACACGTGCAGAACTAACTAAGAAACTACTTTGTTCCTCTCAGGTCAATAAAACCAACCCTGTAAAATAAGAGGAATGGTGGGTGTGTGCAGCACATGAGCAACAACTGTATGTGCAACAGATTGCACAACGTTTGCAACTTTGCAAGCATTTTCCTGACCAAACAGCTACTTGATGAACTGTTCTAGCAAGAATGTAAAGATATTAACTTTCCAGCTTGCTTTCAGATGGGTAATTAAAAAAATATTTTACCACCAAAACAATTTTGGACATCCTTGAGCAACTTAGCCATAATGAATCATCAGCAAAGAACAGAACAAAGTGTGTTTAAAATTGGAAAACGTTTCACTTTATACTGCCTAAAATTACCCATGTTTAATGAAAAGTAGGGTTGACAAATTCTGCGTCACACCACGAGCTTATGAGCTTAAAGCTGAATAACTTAATGAAGTTCTTTTTGCACAACCTTGTTTCATAAGCATGTTTCCTCCTTTATTATTGCTTTTATGACATTTATCTTTGTGTACATTTCAGTTCTACATTTTACAAATACACGGAAGAGATTAGGGTGTGACGGGCTGAGACATGCAGCAAAAAATGCATGCATGGAGAAGAGTCACAGCTCAACTGAAAAATGCAACCGACAAAGAGCCAAAAGTGAAAGGCGTGTTGGGAAACTCCCAATAAGAGTGTGCAGTCCATTTTATATTGAATAAGCATGAACAGGACTTGAACACACACAGCTGAGACAAGACCATGGAAAATATATGAACAAGTGCCAACTGTGGGAATGAATTAGATCCTATGACAGCTTATTATAAAGACAAACTGTGAAACAATTCACATTATGACACACCTCAACTTCTTAAAATTATTCCATTTTGTAACATTGGTGCTTTTAATAAATGTGTGCAGTTTTTATTCTGACAGATTTCACTTGAATGCATCTCATTTATTTTGTGTTACCAGTGAAGTGACTTTAACCTTATTACAACAAATGCCAAAACAACTATTTAATCAACAATGTAGTCCAAGTTAAAGTATAAATGTCATTACACAAATTTGCCTCAGTACAGTAAAAGAGATCAGCTCAAGCTTTGCCTTCTGTTGGGTTTTTTCTGTGCATCTTTGTGGATAAAATGTAACTCAGCTGAATTCAACTGAAAGAGGAGGTCCTGACCTGTAGTATCTGGACTGCAGATAAGTGGAGCAGACAGCCTTGGAGACATGGCTGGCTGAGCCAAAGTCAATGACTTTGACTCTGTAGGGCTGCCTGGAGGGGTCCACCAGCATGATGTTTTCAGGCTTCAGGTCAGCGTGGATCAAACCCAGATCCTTCAGCTTCTTTAGAGCTGTAGCCACCTACAAAAACAAAGCAAATTATTAGACATGTCTGAGCACGCTTTATATATGTTCCATCTAAAACAATGCAGTTATTTTCATGAGTAATTAATATTTTATACTGAAGTTCTTGTAAAATCCAGCAACAGAAGTCAGGTTACCTGCTGCAGAATCGGCCTGATGATTTTGAGTGGCAATGGGCTGAACTTGTTCTGCTTCAGAAAGTCGTAGAGGTTTTGCTCCAACATCTCAAACACCAAGCAGGTATGGCTGCGGTGCTGAAAGCACTCCAGTGCACGCACCACATTGTGCTCATCTGCATTCTCGCTGCTCAATCGGGCCAGAATCTCCACCTGATATTTCAGGAACAGGATAAGACAATGTCTCAACTTTTTCAGAATTAAGCTTGTAAAAAAAAATACTGTTATTATTAGGAAATACCACTAGTTGTCTTTCAAAATGTTCTGAGCTGCTGTGATAATGCAACAAAATTACTGTAACGATCACTAAGGCCAGAAAATTAAGTTTTACAAATTTAGGTAACTACGAAAATGTCTGTTCTACAAATTCTCACCTCAATCTGTCCTTGGCGTGCATAAGATGGGTGGTTCTTCAGTATTTTGACAGCCACCACTTCATTCGCTCCCCTCTTCCAGCATTTCACCACCTGGCCAAAGGTGCCTCGACCCAGAAACTCCAAGACCTCATAGCTGTTCTTCAAGGAGTAAAGAACTTCATGCTGAACCAATTGATAGTCACCATCTCCTGATCCAGTCCGACTCAGTGGAGCCCCCACCACTACCTCAGAACTTTCGTCAGGTCTCATTTCAGTCCCATCGACTCCGATGCCTGCGACAGCATCTACCCTGTTGTGTTGAGAAGGCAGTGTCCCTCTGCCACCTACTCTGACAGTGTCTCCATTGTTCCCAGTGCTGGTCTGCAACATGGCCACAGAAGAAGGAAGTGATGGTAGAGCAGACACCTCCTCAACTATCTGCATGGTCCTAAAGCAGCTGCTCTCCTGTGGTTGTTCTCCACCTTCACCTGTCTTCTGTTCACATCTCTGGGTGGAACTTGAGTCGACAACAGGGACGTATTCTCCTCTTCTGCTTTTGGCTTCTTCCTCCTCTGCTCTTACACAATCCTTACTCGATCGTCCACAGTCCAAGCCTCCACGACTCTCTTCCTGTGGTACTGTTCTTTGGTCAACAGGCTCCTGATCCTGGACCCCAGCTGGACCTCCTTCCAGGCTCCCCGCCCAGCTTCCCACACCCTGTATTCCTGCAGACTGCAAAGTCCACGGCTCAGTTTCCACAAGCTGTCGACCCCTGTGCAGCCTTTGTGAATCAGCCCCGGTTGAAGACGGAACAACGTTGTTGGGATACGCAATACCGTAGTTGACACCAATCACATAGGTCTTGGGCGGAGGTCGATGCTCAAAGGCTCTGCTGGTGTTGTAACTGTGGTGAACTTCACCCGTGTGTCTGCTGGTACCACTGCTGCTTCTTAAGGCACTTGTCTGAGCTGAGTGCAGGTGTGACGGATAGACTAAGACTTGTGAGGCCATACCTTTAAATACACAGAAGAAGAAAAAAAAATCTGTTTTAATGTAATATTTTAAACTTGAAGAATTCTCATGGGCATCTCAAACCTATCTCAAAATCTTAAATATAAATTATATATGTGTATAAAACAAGTTTAAATTAGGGGTGCACCGATAAATCGGCTGGCTGATTTACCACACCCGATTTCCTTAATTTTGGGAAATCGGCCAATACTTGCATGAGAAATGGATTTTACAGAATTTTTTGTTTCAACAATTGTCTGAACTTCGTTTATATTTCAGAGCACTACATCATGGCCAGTTAAAACAAGTCTGTACTGTTTCTAAGATATTGTTCATGGTTATGTTTTTCAATAAAATAATATTGGAAAATTGAAAGTGCATTGTGACCTTATAACACCTGACAGTGTCGCTTATAAAACAAAATTGGTATCAGCCAAAATCGGAATCGGCAGGACAGACTTTTTAGAAATCAGTGATCGGCCAGAAAACTGCAATCAGTGCACCCCTAGTTCAAATATATCATTTAAAATGAATAAAACTTTGCAGGCAGCACACACAAGAATAAGCCACGATTAAAAAAAAAAAAAACAGACGCTCAAAACGCAACGGCATGGCTCGGTTTGAGCAACAATTTTTTTTTTTTATTTCCCTTTTCTCAACACTATTTAGCCAAAGGTGACTCGGAAACTCTTAAATCATTGCCAACTTGCAACTGTTTATACATAAGGTTAGTTGGAGCAAAGTGAAATATCACCTTCCTCTCCCCATCCTTTGTGGACAACAAAAATATATAAATATAAAAGCCACCAAAGTAAATACAACCTTCAGCCTTTATGTCACCCTTAGTGGAAAAGGGAACTAGTCTTCTGTAATGGGAGATGGGGAAGCCCAGTGCATCTATGACTTGTTCCTGCATGATGCACAGGAGGGTCAGTTTCACACAAAGTAAAACCGCATAGCAAACAGAGGGGAAAACGATACACCATGATGTGTGAAGAATGTTCTGTACTCCAGCATCATTTCAGAAATATAGTAGTAAAGTACGGTAACTCATGACATTTTTATTTTAACAAATCTGTCTGCTGAATTAGTCAACATAGAAGGAAAGAAAACAGCAGCGGCAGCTTAGTGTAAAATCTGAATAATGCAACAGCTGAAATGATGCAATGCAGTCACTTTTCACACAATTTCAATAAAAAGGCTCAACATTTTCAGATACCATTCAAGCAGCTATTACTGGAAAATTAAATTTCAAGATTTGAAAATTACTTACATTCAGTTGTTATTCCTAAACATTTAAATCCAAGCTGTCTTTTGTCCAGCAGAGCATGTACCGGTACTTTTAAAGACCACTTTCTTTGTGTACATACATTCCAAGAGAAATGCAGGAACCCAAAGCCCAGAATAATTTCACAGTGTACTTGTTGTTTTCCATCAGGATGATGGCAGGGTAAGCACTCAAAGCCTGACAGAGGGTTTCTCAGTCTTGTGCAATTCTGTTAAATTCCACTTCCACTGCACAACTTAAAGAGCCTTCCTGCAAAACCACAACCCGAGACAGACTCACAGCATAAAGATTAATCCATCAGCTGCAGTAGAGATCTCATGCTGACATGGGCTGGTCAACATTTTCTTTTGTAACGGATCTATGAAAGCTTATTAACAAGTTGCAGATGAATTCTTATTTTTACAAAAGTGTCAAAGCTCCATATTACCCATAATGATATGTTTGTGTAATTATGTGTTTTCTTCTGCTTATATATCTTTGAACATGGCGTGCAAGTCCTGAATTGTTGAATGCTTGACATTTTTACTAGCTTTTTTATTTATTTGTTTTTTTTTGGGGGGGGGGGGGGGGGGAGTGGTACAAAGAATGTCAGTTTAGTTTCCACCTCTTGGGATAAAGTAAAATCTCCTTTCAGAAGATATCCAGACAACTTCGAGATTCCGTATGACTTTGTGTAAGCACATTCCTCTCATTGCAGCAGGTCTTTACGCCATGATAAGCTGAGACAGACAGAGGCCCAGCTTGTCAGCCACACTTCCTGAAGATTTCCAAACAGAGCAGCAGATTGTGCTCGTAAGGGCTCAACCAGCGGCCGCAGTGCACGGGCCTGATCACATGTCCCGCAAGCCACTCGTAAGGTTTATCAGTCTAAGCACAGAATTGTGTTCAACAATGGCTGTAGACTCCCAAGCCAATAAGGCCTACGCACACACAGGCTCAGACAGGCAGAGGGGTGTGCCTCAAAGTAAACAGTAAAAGAAACACACCTCATATGTCCTGTCAAGTAAGGGTGATGCATTGTAACAAGCCGCTGACAATAAAAAACTAATTCTCTCAACTCAAAATAAAAACTCTTGACTACAACAGAATTAAGTGACCAAAAATATAAAAGTAGGCGCCATAACTCGCAGAAAGCAAGCCAGAAGTTATAATTACAATTCCAGCAGCCAAATTTTTTTTCAAACATAATTACAGATGAAGTTATTCACAAATGTGTTTTTTTCCCACTTTAATTGCTACCCAAAACTGAAAGCCAGGCAAACACTGTTAATAACTTGATGATGCAATTGGGAAAAAAAACGACTGACAACAGCAGAAGAGCCACCATCCTGGGGTTGGTCAGCGTGGTGTAAATATGTTATTCTTGCTACTCTTGCCATCAGTCTTTCAGGGACACTTGCACGGTCTCAGCTGTTATACCTCATGCCAAACTGTGTAGCCTGATATCCCACAGGACGACCAGATCCGAGCCTGAAATAGAGATCCATCACAGAGAGGACAAACACACACATTCAGGGTGTATCTGTGAGTGTTTGCGTGCTCAGCTGGCAGCTTTTTACAGCTGTAAAACACCTCACAGTTTGCCACAGACTGATCCAAGTGACGGTTAACACATGGAGGAAAAGGGCGCAGTGTGCGTGCGTGTGTGACGTACGTGCGTGTTAGGGGGATGGGCAACACACCTGTTGAAACTTCTGCTGTGGCAAATTACGGTGGTGTGACGGTTTGTGGGATAACCTACTCAAAAAGTTTACTTACAAAGCCGCACTACCATTTTTTTTTTTTGATTACTTGAAGCAAATGATCAACAGTGTTCACACAGATACAAATTACAAAACTAAAATGTAGCAATAATAAAATCCAACAAACTGGCGGCCTGCTATAATTCAATTCAACTCAGTAAAATAAAAGCAACCATCTGCGGTTCACTTAATTGATTAGCTTTTGAGGCTAACACCTGCCTACTAAAGATAAGATTAAAGTTAGCAAACAGGCTAACTGCGAGCACTCCCCTGAACGTTAAAAAAAACGCTGTTAAACCACCAACATACCACAGAAAGTCTATCTACTGCGGGTTATTACAGATACGATTACATACCTTCAGTAACAACAGTAAATTGTACCACCCAGTGCGTCAAAAAACAGTCGAACTCCGAGGATCCGCACCACTGTGAAACTCTGCATCCGTGCTGCTGTTTCTGCTGCCATCTTGTTCAACGACGAAAACAGACCCAGCGACTTTTCGCACACTTCAAGCTCTTTAGTACGCATTAAAAACTTACTATTACATAACCTAGATAAAATCCATGATCTCCTCAGCCGTTTCGAGATTCTTCAAACGTTGGTCTTGCGTCTATTTAAGACGAAGATCGATGTTTGTAAACTTTTACATGTTACTGCGCCTCGACTCCAACTGCGATAGCTGCTGGCACGGCTAGCTGTTGATGCTAGTAGCTCTTTGCTTCTACGCATGCGCGGAATGTTAGGAGGGAGGGGGCGGTGGGAGGAGCCAAAGCGCTAAAAACGTTGGACTGCCATATTTACGTCATCCTGATATATTTACACATACCTACTTACAACTTTCTTACAGTATGCTTAGAATAGAATAGAATAGAATAGAATAGAATAGAATAGAATAGAATAGAATAGAAATAACCTATATTGTCCCTTTCAGGTTTACCAGCTGCAAAGTAGTTAAATCAAACAATGGAGATTCGCACAAAAGTAGAAAATATCAAAAACAGGAAATTAAGGAGTCTGTACAGTAAGGACATATTTACAGCATAAGAAAAAATACTGTACAGTTATTAAAAATAGTATACCTAGATTCAAGAGATGTGAACAGAGTGGGGGACAATTATAATTTAAAGAACTGCATGTTTTTGCACGTAAAAGAAAACAATACACTATGTCCAAGAGATGGAAAAACTGCAAGTGACAGCAAAGATGTAAACACTTGTTGAGTTTGTTGTGATCAGTGGTTGTTATAAAGTCTAACAGCTGCTGGAAAGAAGGACTTGCAATAATGCTCCTTTGTACAGTGCAGCAGTCTGTCACTGAAGGAGCTCACCAGACCTTTAACAGCTTTGTGCATGTGGTGAGAGACATTGTCCAACAGTGTTGTTATTTTTGCCAGAGTTCTGTCTCCCACAACCTGTATTGTGTCAACTGGGCATCCTAGGACAGAGTTGGCCTTCCTGGTGAGCTTGTCTAACCACTTCCTCTCAGATGTACATAAGCTGCTGCTCCAGCAGACTACAACATAGAAGATGACTGATGCCACCACAGAGTCAAAAAAAGGTCTTCAAGAGTGTCTTTTGTACTCCAAAAAGACCGTCTCCTCAGCAGGTAGTCTGACCCTTCTTGTAAAGTGCATCAGTGTTGTGGCTATTGTTCAGGTAAACATCCAGGTACATATAAGAGTCTACTATCCCAATGTCAGCTCCCTGGGTGCTCACCAGTGTCAGTGTGGTGGATCTGCATCTGTGGAAATCCACAACCAGATCCTTGGTCTTCCCTGCATTGATCAGGAAGGAGGTGGTTCCACTGTCCTGTGTCCACTGTCTGTGCTCTGAGTCACCTTTACTTGTGATGGGGTCGACTATGGCAGAGTCATCAGAGAGCTTTTGAAGATGGCAGCCTGGGGAGCTGATGGAGAAGTCTGCAGTGTAGAGGATGAACAGTTGCCAGCACTATTCTCTGCGGGGCCTCCGTACGGCAGACAAGCCTGTCAGAGACACAGACCCGTGTCTTCCTCACGGACTGTGGACAGCCAGTAAGGTAGTCCAGTATCACTGGGTCAGGTGCTCGTCCACTCCTGATAGCTCCAGCTTGTCACTCAGAAGTCCAGGCTGATGTTACTAAAAGCAATGGAGAAATCAAAGAACAAGATTCTCACAGTGCTTCCGAGCTTCTTCAGGTGCAGAACTCGGTGCAGGAGGTAGATGATTGCATCATCTACCCCGATGCCAGGCTGGTAGGCAAACTGCAGCAGATCCAATGAAGATCTCACCAGGGGGAGAAGATGGCTGAGGACAACCTCTCAAGGTTATTCATAGGAAGCTTATTGATATTATATTTATATACCCCAGTTTATTCTAAGTGAATATAGCATTACAGTATTTGTCATTTTATGAAACATTTTTCTCAATGACCGTTCAAAATATACTGTATCAAAATAATTAAACTCATAAATCTGGATCTCTTGTCTAAAAATCAATTAGTATGCGTCAGCTCCCTGCTGCTTTTGTAAATGAATGTGACTTTATAGAGATCTGAAGTGCAACTTGTACTTTTCTGTTAATTTTTATATACCAATTGTTTTATTTCATTAATTAGTTGCACAAGTAGTTCAAGAGAGAAATGCTTAAAAATGTTTTATTGACTTTATCTTAAGATAATGATTTTTTTTAAAGACGCTGAAGTCAATTAGATATAGAAACAAATCAAAATTACAAGAAAATAAAAATGATTTAGTTAAAAATTTGTATAATCAGAACAGGCAGACTAACAGTTGATTTAAGATGAAAATGCCACATTCTTGAGCCTCGAGGGGACATACCAGCAACTTATTGATGGAACTGGGTGTGAAAGACATGTGTCCAAACCATGAAATAAAATAAAAAGAATAAAGTAAATTACAAAAACCTTGTAGGGAAGGTTACATTGCAGTGGGTAAATACTCACAGAACATGCAGAGTGAACAGGCAGGATTCGTGAAAATCGCTGGGCAACCAGAACAAAAGTACAAAAATGTTTTAAACTACATAAATAAATAAAAATGGGACACTTGTTATGTACCAAGTCAAACAAACCACCAAAATTCAGGATGAGATCATATATTTTCTATTATTGAGTGTTTGTTTCGATCAAAAATGCTTCTTCGCAAAACAATCCAGTATATTTGAGTGAATACTTTCTGCATGTTTGTTTTTAGCTCAAACTGCTTACAAAAGCACATACAAATATTAAATAATAAAAATTATCTTATAGTTGACATGTCCTGTTGTGAGGTTCTGATTAGACCCTTTATCAATATGTTGCTGTTTTACACTGAGGACCTGGCTCTACCTGCTGCTTCATACGAGTACTACAAGTCTGCTTTCTGAAATTGTTTTTTATATATCCAGTTCTTAGAATATATTGTCACCAATAACTACCCAGACATATTTCAGTCATTTCTTTTAACAGATTAATTATAAATTATTTAAAAAGAGAAAGAAAAAAGGGTTTTGAGGGACAAACAACACTTTATTTGCATGTTTTGTGAACATTAAACAACAAATATTGGTGTAGTGCGTTACTCGTTTAGATAAAAGAAACACTGTCACTCCCTCCAGTACACATCAATCACGAATCTTCAGTCATGGGTGGGTTTAAGTTCTTCAGATTTTAACTTTCATCACATAACCATCTTGCCATTTGTTGCTACCGTCGAATTGTTAACGTTAACAGACACATCACATCAGTTGTTATACATAAACGATAAAAAAAAAACATCTGCAGCCATATCCCGTTGGCTGCACATAACCTGAAATGAGCTCTTAAAAGTTTATTAACAAAATCAAAATCCTCACTTACACAAAAACCTTCAGACAGGAACCAATCTTGATGTTGCCCTTTCCATGTCGCCCCTTGTATCCAAGGAGACACAGAACTTCACAGGTGTTTCACCCAATATTGTCCCCTCTGCAGCACAGAACTGTAACTGTAACATGCTAACATGCTAACTCTTGTAGCTTGTTGTTGATGTCAGCTTCAAACTAAGTTACATTAAGAAAGACGAGTGTAGCTCCACTAGTGGACAAGTCTGACTTGGTTATCTACCAGATAAAATGGACAACTAGCCACATTTGTCCAGAAGAGTACGACAACTTTTTTATAACACCATGGCATCCCTTGAAATCAATAACCGCCCCATGACTAATGTTAACCGTTCAACATACGTAGTCAGTCCTCCAACACAGGCATTAATTCCTGCTAGTAACACTAAATGAGTGCAAACATGGCTATTGTAAAAGTCACAACTGTGAGGTTTGATATTTTAATGAATAAATAACACTGTGAGTAATCAGAACTGAAAAGTTGTGGTTTTGTTTTGTTCAGGTGAGTTAAAGGTGCACATTTTTTTACAGCTGGCTTCCTTTAGTAATTATAGATCATCTTCCTCAACTCTTTTCTCCAAACTGTTACTAAGGAGGGAAATCAGCAGAACTACGGACCACTCTCCACAACGATCCTCGATTACGAGTCGGTGCTCAGGCTCTCCTCGGATGTAAGGATGTCCTGGAGGATCTTTTGGTAGAACGGGGAGAAGACCAGCTTATTGAAGTTGACCAGGCGGCTGAAGCGAACGGAGAGCTCTTTAAGCTCCCTGCTGACCGGAGCCAGACCTCCCGGGAGAGGAGAAGGGGTCTTGTGTTGACTAGACTCCAGGGAAGCCAGGAGGTAGCTCTGAACCCGAGAGTCTGTGAGGAGTTTTAGACACAGGAAAATAAATGATACTGATGAGGGGATGGAGACATACAATAAAGGGTGCTGCTCTTACCCATCAGCTTAATGACTGTGTTGTCTGGTTGGATGAGGGCCGAGATTTGTCCCTTCAGGGTACCCTTACGGTCAGCTGAAAACGGAGAGTATCCATGCTGGCTCAGAGAGTGACTCAGCTCAATACAAAGTTTCTCCCCGATGGTCGCTAGGGCCTCCTGTATACTAAAAGACCTTAGAAAAGACAGTTATAATGTTTAAAACTTGTTCTAGCATTAAAGGAAAGAGCAACATGTCATATTTAATATGTTTCATATAACAAAGTGTCAGAAGGGTGTAACCGTATTGAGCCAGAGACAGTTAGCCTCTAAACTTAAGAGTGCATTACAGCAACTTGTGGTGTCTCAACTTGAGTCTGCAAGTTTGTTTTTTTTAACCAAGAAAACTTGTTTTATATTTTTTATTTACATTTTGAAATGATGCTGGCTGATATGCTCCAGCTTTTAGCCCGTATCGTGTCTGACGTAATCGTTGCTTGACTTTAGTTTTGTTTTGAAAGACCTTTTGAACAAAGCCACTTTATAACCACAAAAAGAAAGCGTTTTCTTTTAGTCCTAGGGTTTCACGTAGATATACGGGCAAAATAAAAAATGTCATGCCTTTACCAGGTACTGGAATGACCAAAATGTAATTCGTGACTTAATTTGAGCTGGATCCTGCCAGAACAGGATCCGGGAACTCTCTTATTTTGACAGGGCACATTCCGGTAACTGCTTGCTTGGATCCGGTAACTCTCAGTCTTACTACTAATAAAGTTATGAACAAATATGACTGACTTGAATGAATAAAACTTATATTGGATATGTAAACTGAAAATAACCCTCTTTTCTCTAAAAACAACATGGCAGCATGTTGTACGTTTGTATGATTTCATGTGAAGGAACCACAAGACTTCTGGAACAAAAATAGGCCAAAGGACAGATGTTTACCCAGAATGCACAGCAGCATGTTCGGAGAAAACCCAACCCAGAATATCAGTCTGCCTCATACCAATTGTTAGGCACGGTGGCGGAGAGCTGATGGTTAGGACAGGAGTTCTAGAGTCAAATATGAGTTGAGCAAAAACCTCAATAAACTGAAGCAACCTTGGAAAGACGAGTAGGCTAAACTTGCTCCACAATGATGTGCGAGACTGATAAAGTCCTAAAGAAAACGGTTTGGTTCAGTCACAATGGGTTTATTACTGATCGTTCACATGACATCTGAGTATTTCCCGGGTAAATATTTGTACTCACGGTGCGTGCATATCTGCAAGCATGACACCAACAGTGTTTTTAAGGGTCTCCATCAGTCCTGGCAGGCCTGAGATGGCCTCTCCTGTTGTAGTGTAAACAATAAGGAGCACTGAGGAGAGCAGAACTAACCGCTCGACCTCCTGTTGCATCTCCTGGAACCGAACCTGATCCATCAGCACTGTCTGCAAGGGGGTGGAAAGAGTGCGTCACGAAAGGCTAAGAAACAAAACTAAAATAATAACATAAAGAAAAAAAAAACACGAAAGCCTGAGGGTTTACCTCTGGGAAGGGGTCCACAGCATGGTCCCACCTGAGCAGGCGAAGATATGAGTGATTGTGGACGTTTAGGAGCATGAGTGATGGAGACTGATGAGAGGCAGCACTACAACTAGCCGTCTCTCTCAGACATTTCACCGTTTCCTCGAGCCACTTCTTAGTGTAGTCTAAGGCATCTAAAGAGGAAAGGACAGTTTGATGATTTTTTTTTTTTTTACACCACAACGGGATGTCCTTCAGAGCCTATATTTAAGAGTCAAACATAAACAAACAATTCAGCTTCACAAAGAGACAATTTATTTAAAAAAAATTAGTTCAACAAATTAAAAATTCATATCTGAACAACCTGTAGTGCAAAAATACAAGCACTCAACAAAAAAAAAAACAACAACAACAAAAAAGAAACACTGTAAAGATGGGATTCCTTACTGGGTTGTTTCTCCAAAAACTCCTGGAACTTGTTCCTCTCATACTCAACCGACTGCTGCATGAGATGAGGTCTGATGCTGCTCAGGGCAAAGTTGGCCATGTCCACCTTCATCAGGTCCAGCACAGAGAACGCGGCTCTGATCGGAGCAAAGAATTAACAGAGATTTGAATCAAGAAACGGACAGAAAATACAGATGATGATCAAGATGGTGACCGTCCTTTGTACAGATGGCTGTTTTCCTGTTTTTATTTTTCTGTACGCTTGTTGCAATCCAACAACTTCTGTATACTTTGTGCTATTTCAGCCATTCATAAATTTAAAAAACAGTTCAGCTCATTCCGGAGATGGGTGCCAAGACTTAAAGTTTTTGTAAATTTAACACTTTTCAAAATATCTCACTTTATTTCCCCAAAGAAATACATTAAGTTCTCTTTGATCCCTTCAAAAACGTTAGTTTCTGAAATCTGCTCCAGCAAACTCCCTCTATTTTTGCTTTCTTGTGTTGCTTTTACTTAACCTTTTGCTATTTTTAGCTTGCCAGCTCCTATTTTTAGTCTTTTATTGCATTTTTTCTAGTTTTAGCTAGTCATTTGCTTTAAGCTTCTAGCGGGGCATTTTGTAATTTTCAGATCACTTTATTACTTATGGCTTTTATGTAGCTTTTTACTTTTCAACAAATTTCTCCTTCTTGTCGCTTTTGGCAGCTTTTAGATAGGCTGTTGCTACTTATAACTTTTGAAAAGTTTGCATTTTGATATTTTAGCTTTAGCTAGCCTATTAATGCTAGCTTTTAGGAAACGAATAGCTGTCTTTTGCAACTTTTAGCTAGTCTTTTGCTTTTAGTCAGATATTTAATACTTTATATTTTAGCCAGGCTGTTGCTACTTATAACTTTTAGGTGGGGTGTTGTTTATTTAGTAATGGCTAGAATTTTGCCATTTTAGCTTCTAGCTAGCCTGTCAATTTTAGCCTTTAAACAGGCTATAGGTACCTTTTACTACTTCTAGTTAGCCTTTTGAGTTTATCTTTTGACAGCCTTTATGGGGGAGTGGTGGCGCAGAGTCTAGAGAAGGTGGGCCTGTGAAATGAAGGTCGCCGGTTCGACTCGCTTCTCCAGTATCTGAATAGACCTTACCTGGGAGGCTAAGGAAAGTGATGCCCCTATAACTGAAGCACACCCAGCCTCCGGTCCACCTTTTTGAAGAGGGGAACCACCAATCCAGTGAGAGTGCCCTCGAAGTCCACGCAATGTTGCACAGGTGTGTCAATCAAGACAGCTCAACAACATCCAGAGCCTTAAGGAAATCAGGGCAAATTTCATCCACCCCCGGAGCCCTGCCACAGCTGAGCTTTTTAACTACCTCAGCAACCTCAGACTGTTATGGACAGACAAACCCTAAAGTCCCCTGACTCAGCTTCCTCCATGGAAGACGTGCTGGTGGGATTGAGAAGGTCAGAGAAGTATTCCTTACACCTCCCGATGACATCAATGGATGAGGTCAACAGCACCCCACCTTCACTGAACATAGTGTTAGTAAAGAGCTGCTTTCCCCCTAACTTGGAGTGTCCACCATCAACTTCGAGGAAGGTGTTTTTACTGCGTTTACTGTTTTGCAATTTTTAGCTTTAACAACTAAGTTCTAGCTTTTTCAACAAATTTCAGCAAAGCCGTTCAGCACTCAGTGTTCACACTGTATTCTCTCCAGTAAAGTTATGTTGTTGGAACACAGGAGCATCACTCCAGTTTGATTCTGCACTAATGAAAACAGATGGTTAAAAATAAACAAAAGACCTGTCTCTCAACTCGGGGCTTACTTCAGCAGAGGCACAATATCAGTGATCTCCTTCAGCTTATTGATGTCCTCGTCTCTGCAGGGGGCGCACAGAGAGCCCATCATCTCAACGATGAACTGGGACAGCTGACCGATGTCGAGTGCCCCATTTTCAGCCTGTTGCTGGATTAGAGGCAGGTCCAGAACCGCCTCGATCTGGGAGCGCAGTCGCCTGTGCCCCGGCAGCAAGAAGGACAGCAGCGTCTAGATGAGTGGGGGTGGGAGAGTAAAACAGAATAACAATGTGTTAAACCTGCAAGGGAGCTTACCGGTAAATACCAGAGGAACAGAAAGTCCTTGGAGTTTTGACCTTCTTAAATAAAATGCGTATATATACGAGATGAGATTTCACAGCCACACATTCAGTTTAAAAGATCTTCACAAATTTACATGGACACAGACAGCTGCTATGATAAATGCTTGCTTTATAATCGCTTACTCTCATGTCCACTGGTAGAGCACTTTAAGAAGATTTACTCTTATTTGGAGTCAAAGTAGCTTTTTACAAACTTTAAACATGACCCTCATATTGCCAAGTTTGGTAATCTTTTAGCCAGCTTTTAGCTACTATTAGCTTCTAGCTAACATTTTGATAGTTTTAACTACCGGTAGTATTCTGTTACTTTTAGCTTTTACCTTGACAGTTCAAAAATTTTAGACAAATTTTTGCTACTTTAGTTTTGAGTTAGCCTTTTAATTTTTGTCTTGCCTTTTGTTGCTTTTATCTTTTAGCTGAAATTTGCTGCTTTTAACAAGCAATTTGTTGGTTTTATCATTTAGCTAACGATTTACTACTTTTCATAACATTTAGCGACTTTTAGCTTTTAGATATTTTTAGCTTCTAGCTAGCATTTTGCTACCTTTATATTTTAGCTAGCAATTTGCTACTTTTAGCTAGGCTTAAATATTTTTAGCTTTAGCTTACTTTTTCATACGTTACTTTTTAGCTAGCCATAATATTTCTAGCTTGCCTTTTGCTACATTTATCTTTTAGCTACTTTTAGGCCTTTTAGGCAATGTTCTGCTTCTTTTAGCTGTGAAAACTCAGTTTCAGTTTCATTTTCATAGACAATACAATTTGTCTGGTAAAAAAGTTTATTCGTATTGATTTGCTTCAGGTCTCACCTCTTTAATATCTCCAAGAAGTTTGATGGCATGCTCGTAAGATGGCGGATCTTCCTTCAGCTGAGCTTCCAAATTATCCCAGAAGGCCCTGTGCATGATCTCCTTCACTTTGCGCTCCAAACTGAAGCAGAACACACAGCATGCATTCCCATTCTGCGGCATCACAGAACTCACTGAAAGAACATGCTTTCTATTCAAAAACTCACCTTCCTTCAGGAAGCTCTGAGGGTTTGACCTGAAAAGTCTGGTTGACAATCAATTCATGAGCTAAAGCCAAGTTTGTGAGTCCTTTAGCTGTCTCCATCAGCTCCTCCACAGAGACAAACCTAGGGGGGCTGGCTGTGAGCACACAAAACGTGTTTATCACTACACAACTGTCATCTGTCAAACGTGTTTTATCTACTTCTAGACTTTTGCTACTAGATGGGCTACTTTTAGCTAGCAATCAAGTATATTTACTAATTTTGTCAACTTTAGCTAATGTTTTGCTACATTTAGCCAGCCCTTTTCTACTTACCCCGTAATCCATTTAGCTAGCCGTTTGGTAATTTTAACTTTAACATAGCCTTTTGTTATTTTTAGCATGTAGCTGAAGGTTACTTTAACAAAGCTGCATGTCATACTTCCAGAAGTAAAATGAAAATGAAGAAACTCTTTCATTCAAAATATAAAAAAGGTTTGCCAACAAACAAACAAACTTATAAAATGACAACAAGAACTTTTAAATTCAAAATTAACTTTTTTGTTAAACGCAGTCAGTGTTTCCACTACCTGCTTTAAAGCAAAAACTCTTGGAAATTTAGTTAATGCCATCTGTCACACGTAACAGTGTAAAAATACAGAAATGCATAAAAGTTCAATAGGACTAATCATACCATGAGAATAGTTGGAAAATTTAGAAAATTAACATTTTAAATTATTACAGTAACTCCGCAAAAACGTGACTCAAAATGGCTTTGAACCAAAATAATAATAATACAGTTCAGCTGTCTGAATGTATTGTTTTACAGAAAGATCTGCAGACCTGCTGTCAGTATCTCCATACTAAAAATACAATTGGCATCTGATGGCAAGGACATTTTGGGGTAAAAATTGCCAGGTGTGAATGCTCTCAGTCAGAGCTGTATACTTGCAGTTGATATTTAATGACAGGTTTGAACAGCCTTTAAGAGTCTGCATGTGTCTACTATAAGGGTTCTTTGGCGGCTGTGGCCGAGTGGTTTGAGCAGTCGTCCTCCAATGCAAGAGTTGGGGGTTCAATTACACCAACAGTCACATGCCCTGGGCAATACACTGAACCCCTCATTGCCTCCACTGTGTGTCCCATCGGTGTATGAATGTGATAAAGCACTGATTATCGTAATCTTTGTACAGATACCTGTATAGTAAAGTGCTGTATGAATGGGTAAATGAGAGCACAGATTGTAGCGTAAAGCGCTAGAGAAGATAGAAAGGTGCTATATACCGGAAGTACAGTCCATTTACCATTCAATCTGCGATGGCTAAAAATTCTAAGTTGGGTGTTGTAAATGAATGAAAACTGAGCATCGTTATGACTATATTCATCTTTTGTAAATTACTTATTCTGCTTGTTTGAGCAATTTAGATTTTAATCTTCTGAAATAGGCTCAAAACACAAATATTTTTCCCTATTTTATTTTATAAACCTGAAAAACACTAAAACCAAATTCAATAATTTTCTAGTTTGTGGGGGAACCATGTGCCTCACCTTGTGGACTGCTACTTGTTTGAGGACTGGGACTGTTTACCCGGACTCTCTTCCTCACCGTCTCCTCGGAGGCATCCTTGGACTCCTCGCCTCCTCCGCCCTGGAAGCGGTCCACCTCCTTCGGCATGCTGCAGTCTGCAGGACAACAGATCACAACAAATGTTTCAAGCTGCAATCTGAAAGTATTTATGAAACCTTAGTTACACAGTAGTTGTATTTGATCACAGACATGCAAAGATGCTGCAAGATGGAGTTGTGACAGTACAGAGTTGGGATTTGATGACGTCTTAGGAAGTGATGAAGATATGAAGGTTTGTTTTTTTTTATGTTCTGCAGTGGCAGAGGAGGGGCACTGGCGACTGGGCGATGCTAAACGTCGGGAGGGAAATGAACAGTGTTGAGTCTGTTTACGATCTTATCTTCCACTAACCTTGAAGTCCGAAGCTGAAGGGAAACGAGTTTGTTTTCAGTTAGCAGCGTGAGCCCGACTCTCAATCAACAACAACAAAACCGTAAAAAATGAGTCGGCTTCCCCGTTAAAAACACTCACACAGCGCAGTTATCTTTGTCCCAGATTTATGTACAGCTTTGCGGTTTCCAGCAGAACGGAGGGAGATATTTGGTTTTCTTTTTTTCCTTTTGAAACTCAGTCGAAATTCACGTCGAAGCCCAGTTCTTTAGCTTTTTAGCGCGCCGCTAACTAACAGACACTTCCGGGAAGCAGTAGAGATACAATGACGTCACAGCCGAGCCTCCTTCCTTACTTTTTATTTTCTTATTTTTTTATTTATAACACACAGAACTACAAAACACTACAAAAGAGAAAGATATATACAAACACTCGTGAAGGGTGTCAGAACTACAGTTTACAAGCTAGGGGGGTTACAAAATGATAAAAATTGAGTAATACATATATAAAAAACATTAAATGAAAAGAATAAACATAAGAAACAAAAAGGAGCA